CATCCAACAACTTTGAGATAAGATCCATATATGCAGACGAAACAACTTTAATAGTTGGTCCTGTAGCCCTAAATTTGGGGACCTCCACGCTCCAATGCCTTAAGAGCTTAAACTGTATAGACTCTAGCAAACGTACGAGTATAAACTGTGTTAAATGTCGGTCAACGCGTTACAACAAAGGTCAATGCCAGACAACGCGTTATAGTAAAGGTCGATGCCGGTCAACACATCAACAATTTTGCCAAAATAAGGCTAAATTCCGGATTAAAAGATGATTCTAGGGAGTTCAATTGTGATCCACATATGAATTCTCAACGAAGACGATCAGTTCAACGTTAACTCAATGATACGAGCAAAATCCAGAAATTTACTCAACAACTTTGGTTCGAGACTTCAACAACGGTTAGACTATAAACGCAGTACCAGAAGAACTTAATCTGTTTGACAAAATACTGAGTAGCCTGAAAGTTGAAGAAATCAAGAATTGAAACCATTCACAGGTCCTACGCGATCTCCTCGACAAAATACTGAAGAGGTTGAAGACATGGCCTATCTTATCCAAAGTATTTTAGACTCCTATATAAAAGAATGAGTCTGAAATACTTTAGAAGGAGTATCTGTAGGCGTCTAAAAAATATCTATAGGTGTCCGTACACAGCTCGAGACGGAGAGAAGATGACGAACGTCGTTATCCGAATCTAAGAGGATTATCTGACGCCGACAAGTATATGAACCAGAATGGCGAATCAATTGTGTCTTGTGCGCTCACCAGCCACCTCCAATTGGCCGTCACGTTCGTTAGTTAGCTCACGCACGTCGGTTAGCTCCAAGTGACCGAACACGCTCGTCAGTCAGCCCGCGCGTGTCAGTCAGCTCCAAGTGACCGGACGCACAAGTTAGTCAACTCACGCATGTCAGTCAGCTCCAAGTGACCGGACACAGACGATAGTCAACTCACGTGTGCCAGTCAGCTCCAAGTAACCGGACGCGCATATCAGTCAGCTCGCGCGGAGTGTACAAGTCAACACGATAAGCAAATAAGCGAAACAACATAAAGTACAAGTCCCGGAAAGTAAAATGCCAAAAAAGGAGTTCAGCTGAGGCGGCGGACCCACGCCGGCACGAGACGGCGCTGGTCGACCCATGCCAGCACGGGTCAGACTCGGCTAACCCATACCCCTACAGCTCAGCACGACCTGTTTCATACCCAGAAGTTCTGAAAACACATTTTTTTAGTTTTTTTTGCTATTTTCTCAGGATTTTTTCTTTCCAGAGCATCTCAACTGCTTAGATATCATCTATATATATGGTTAGGTCGTTGTCAATTGAAGATAAGGACAAATCCATCATTCTTATCCGAAAACCCCCAACCGAAGCCTATAAATACAGGCCTAAGGGCTCATTTCACAGGGGCGGAATTTTATCAAGAGGGTGAGGTGCTGTTGGATTAAGGAGTCAAAGGAACACGAATTTACAGCGAAGGCAAGTCAGATCCCAGCGAACTTCGGCATAAAGAGGAAGGATTTCGAAGGATCTTAACATGTATTTCCCACCGTCTGTTCTTTGAGTTTAGGCTTCGTCTTAATCTTGAGAAGAGTTACTGATTTCGCTTGGTCGATTTTAGTGCTTCAAGCGAATATTTCCTAGGTGAAGTATGAGCTCTGTCAATTTTTCGACAACCAGATCTGATCCGCGGTCGTCCACGGATATCAATATCCCTAGCACAGACGAAGATCCCATGCAAACATAGACTAATGAATAGGATCCGTGTGTTGTTTGATAAAGTTGTAGTTTTTATTTTTATTGTGTAAGGAGATCTTATAAAAAGATCAACTTTTTATTTGAGTTTATTGTAATGATTAAAGGTGTAATAGATTCAAGGCAATGAAATCAACTTTTGCCCCAAACAGGCGGGAGATTATTTATGTACATGGTTCACCGTTGAATAACATTGCGACGAAGTATATTGTATTATGGATTACACATGATTATGTACTAGTATTCTTATCATCTACCTATGGGTAGCGTGAGACATTTGGTTTGACATTAATGACACTGATTGGGATGGTATTATTGTAACGTATTTTCTTATTTTTATTTATTAGTTTGGAGTTAATATTTAGCGATTCACAACTTGAGACATGTGGTATATATATAAGGGTTTTCTTGTTTAGATTATTTCGCTCAACGTAGTAGTCTCGTGTTGTGGATTTCTAAATATTAACACCAATTAGTACATGGTAAATAATTTAGGTAGACTATGCATATTATAGGTAGAGCCTCCATCATATATAGTAGCCCTTTCCCTGGGGATGAATGGAGATAATCTTGTTAGCGCTCTGACACTGTTAATTTCCCCCTCTTTTCAGGTAGCAGATCAGAGTTCCAGAGAGCCACAGGTTGACGAAGTTTCTACATAGTTGCCGTTGTTTCTTGATAGTCATCTTATACTCCACATTAGTCTAGTAGTAGTTTAGTTGATTTATAGACTTGCATTTCATTTTGAAGGCTGATAGTCTATGTACTATTCAGTTGACTCTTGTATTTGACATTATTTACTCATATTTTAGTTCATTGAACGTATATCTTGTTCTTTAGTTTAGACTTGTTTATCTATGTTGTTGGACATGTATTCTTATGTTCTACTTCCTAAATTTTATTTCTCTTATATCTGCTTGTACTCGTATTATTTTTATTGTTTCTACTAGATAGATATTACTGTGATGATAAAACATGTTGTTACACAGTGTGGGTGTAAGACAAGTTTGACATCCTTAGGTTCACCTTAGACTATAGCATTGTGTAAAATCAGGGGTGTCACATTAACAATGTCCTCTATCATCATGATAGAGTCTCCAGTGGGATTATGATTAGGAATACGATTATCATTACATGGTTGGCTAAACGTAACAACTATGCATCGGGAATTTTCTATTGGAATTGTCATGTAAAAGTAAGAAAACACTTGAATACGTAACAATAAACTATAAACGTTAACAACCAACTCATAACCTTAACAACTAATTACTTCTAGCATCTATCAACAAAGGTTAACAACCAACTCATAACCTTAACAACCAAATCATAACTATCTATTGAGGTTAACAACAAACTCATAAGGTTAACTACCAATTTATAACATTAACAACCAACTCATAAACTTAACAACCAACTCATAACTTTCTATTAAGGTTAACAACCAACTCATAACCTTAACAACAAACTCATTACTTAACAACCAACTCATAAGGAAAATAAAGTGTTTACATATTTTCTAGAGAAGTTTGTGTGTTCTGAGAAGTTGAGGAATCCGCATCTAAGATAGCATATAAGTTTATGTTTGTAAGTCTATTATGAAGACAATACTCTAACATCAAGCTTAAGTCATCGTCATTTTTAATTACAAAACTAACTTTTTTCCCCTTTCGGATTTGAATTTAAGTGAAAGAAATTGCAATGGGAGTTTAAGCCTTTGGTACACTTGATACTTCAAGCTAATGATTTTTATAGTCATTGATAAGGAGGAAAACACCCTCACCCTCTTCATGGCTTTTCGTGTTTGTAACCATGCAAAGGAGGGATCTTCCCATCATTACAAAGAAAAGTAGTTGAAGAAACATAGAAGATTTATGGAGGAGAATTAAATGGCTGAGAGAGAGTAGTTTAAGAAGCTAAGAGGATTTTTTTTTTTTTTTTTTTTGGGGGGGGGGGGGTGGTGGTGGTGGTGGTGGTTGGTGGTTGGGGTGGGTTTTGAATGTTTTTTTCAGCTTATAAACCTAGAGTTTACCCTCATTTATTTTTTGAACCCATCTATTAGACTACTACCAAAAACACCTTTAAACGTATGCATGTGATATATTTTGCAGATGTATACTTTGAAATAATAAAATAAAATCCCAAATATACGATCCATCTTCTTTATCTATCTAAATTCAATAATACCAGAGGCCACATAGAATAAATTGATCTATCAAATACCACGAGAGATTTGAGAGTAATTTGAGGATTTTAGCTATCATTTTTATGGCGAAAAGTAACCCATACAAATATACAATCCTATATAGTTGTTCTGATAGGGTCCATATTCTCTAAGTTGCTACAGATTTAATTTTCTGTCCTTTTTTTTTTTACTTTTATCTAATTGTATATGAATTGAGACCCTCAATCTCGTAATACTCCTCGAACATGATGAATAAATATTTTGTGTCTTGTTGTTGCATCACTACCCGATCTTCATCTCCATTAAGCGTCGGATCGGTTAGAAACCGCCTAGCGTTGGCAAGCTTTTTAAACTTCATATAGGAGAGTAGAGGGCCTGTCTACAATGCAGTGACAGTAACTCCCTTTGCCTCGTGTTCACATTGCATGAGACTTACATGATGACTAACTATTATAGAGAGATAACTTTACTTGCACATGCATCAAAAATTTAAAATACTAAGAAGTTTGAAGAGTAATTAATAAGCGACTAGCTTACATAGGTATATCTACAACTAATTGAAATCAAAGTTACATTAGTACCTTAATGTCTACGTAATATTTCTAAGAAGCCCTTAACCTAATATTATACAACCCATTAAGCATATAGAAATAATATTTCCAGCTTACTTAAGACTAATGTGACTTCGTTTAACTAACATGGCTGAATTCAGATGACGTTGCACAGATAAAGTTATAGAGTTCTGGATTTCTCATGTGGTTTTGAGGATGTACATAATTGGCAGGATGATTCTCAATATTTAATTGAATGAAAGCGCAAAACTTTTTTTTTTGCTGTAAATGTGTTTGAAAATTGATAAAAGTTTCCCCACATTTTCACCAGCAATAAAGAAAAATGTTAAATTGCTTTGGGGCGCATTTGGTTCTTACATTTTGAAGGTGAAAGTGGGTAAAAGTCTGCCACAGGGTCAAATCTGTGACAACTTTTACCCCAAATCGCTCTAAAAAGAGGCGATTTGGGGTGAAAGTTGCCACAGATTTAATCCTGTGGCAAGCTTTCACCGATAAAATACCAAAACCAAACGCACCCATGGTGATTTAGCCTTTCCAAATGCTAAAGGGAGAGACGTGTCAATAATCCTTTCCCTCCAACTGTACACAGCTAGCAGTTCCATATTTGGCTGATACATTTTCGACCATCCAAATCTTTCCCATCAACGCTTACATAAATAGAAAGAAGACTAGCAATCTGGCATACATCAAACGTTGCAAGAAATTAGAAACTCCTCCAAGATGAGGATCAGTAGTAAGCTTCAATGCTTTCTAGCATCCTTCTCCATAATCATCTCTATCGTTGAGCGTTGCAACGCTTTGACGTCGCCGGCCATCATCGACGACCATTTATCGGCGACAGCGGCGATTCCGCTCCCTGCTGGTGTAACTGGGCCGGAGAGCCTCGCCTTCGACCCGGACGGCGAGGGGCCCTACACCGGCGTCTCAGATGGCCGGATTCTCAAGTGGCAAGGCGAAGAGCTTGGATGGATGGAATATGCTGTTGTTACTCCTCAGCATCTGTAAGTTGACGCAACTAGACAGATATAGATCATCACATCAAATTAATTAACACAGAAAGATGACAGTAACAGTTAACGTACAATATTTGGCTCCACGCATCTGTAAGTTGAGCTACTTTTTATCTCACCTCGCCCTCTAAATTATTAAATTCGTTGTTTGCTTACCGTCTGAACTATCATTTTAAGTACCTAATATCACTTTTAATTATATTTATTACTCTGAGGGCGTTTTAAATGAATTTGGAAGAGAAGTGGTAGTTGAGAGGGGTAAAATTTGACTATAAATAGCCTAGAGGGCAAGAAGGGACAAATTTGAATAGTCTAGATGGCAAATATGGACAAGTGCCATAAAGGTTTTTGAGGGTTTACTGCACATAGACCCCCTCAAATATCGTTGCTTTGTACTTATTACCCCTGTAACTCATTGTTGCAGATAGAGCTACTAGGTTTATTTATTGACTCTTTTACTCCCGATAAAATTTTGGCGGATATTATCCTTGATGCAATTAGTGAGTTTAACCCCAACAACTAATATCACAGCTTCGTTCAGCAAAGTTTATGTGTAAAAATGATGCCGGAATAATGAAAATCGAAGATCGGGAAGTTTGATGGATCAGACTTCGCCTACTGGAAGTCGCAGATGAAGAACTATCTGTACTAGAAGGATCTTGTTATGGTCAGTCACCACACCAAAATACAAGTATCAGAAGAATACATGCATAAGCCCAAGCGAGGTACGGTCCGAATCAACTTAGAGTCTCAAAAGCTCAGTCAGTGCCAAGTCTCTCGACTAGACGAGCAGACAAGGCTTATTCCGATCGACAGGTCATCATCACCGACTCGAAGAACGGGGGTCAGTCGCCTCCTCGCAATTAAAACAACTACTTGAGCAGACGACTCGACTACCGAGTCACCAGATCATAATGACGACTCACAGATCAACCCGCCTTGGCCAAAGGGATAAGAGCAGACCAAGATCGTTTCAGACGTCAATCGATACAACAGTACTGATTAGTCCCATCAAGATCTCCATTCTGACAACCCTTGTGCACCAGCCTCTTATTCGGCTTACAAGTCATTTCCCAGAGGATTGCTATGATGCTTCTCTGTGCACGAATGACTTCTCCTCCAATTCTCAGCCGCCACCTGGAGAGAGAAGGACGGCCACGCAGCCGACCTACCCTACACCATGCCTATTCTGACAAACCCAGAGCATTGAGAAGACTTTTCTCCCCTGACACTGAATGACTTCCTTCTCAGTCACCTGCCGACACCTAGAGGAAAAAGATGACTTAGCAGCCTGTCTGTTCACCTTTCAAACCACCTCCTGTGCGTAGTCAACAAAAGCCGAGGGTCAAACTCTCAGAGGCAAGGGGGCTATAAAAGGAGGTAAGGAAGGTAAAAGCAGGAGAGTTTTGGATCTCTGCTTCTTCTTACACCTTAGCTTTACTCCCCTTCGGGATCTCTTTCATCCAGAGCATTTTAATAATTCTAGAGGAAAACCCCCTGCAAGGACCTCAATGGCCCATGGGCCTCTCAACAATCCCTCCCCAAGCTCATCAACTGACTTGACCGTCGGAGGTACCACGGGAAAACTAGCCTCGTATTCCTACGATTCTTGCATGTGCAGTCTATCAGTCCACCACGCGAGCTCAGAATCAGGCATAAAGTCGGAGGAGGAGTCGGCCCCAACATTCATTCTCTTCTTCTTCCCTACCGTCACCAGGATCAAAATTGTATCCGACATCGGGAAACCCCCACTGACTGTTTGTTTACGAGCATCAACAGTTTGACGCCCATCGTGGGGCCTATTTTCTTCTCTGAGAAAAAAATACCCAATTCTAAGTCAGAGCCTGATATTGGTTATTCTTGAAGAGCAACGAAATTCCACCGTTCAAGCTAAACAAAGCCTGGAATCGCATCATTCAAGCTAAGGTGGACTAGCCTATGGTTATGAGGAGCTAATGTGGGTGTAGCCCTTGGAGGCTCCAGCAGCTTTCGGGGGGTATTTGCTAAGTAGAACCCCGAAAGCCCTCCTAAGAAAAGACACACCACTATGGTGCTTGTCTGGCTTGAGAATGAAGCACATGCTTCTAATTGCCACCACAGATGAAAAACCCCACCGCCTAGACAGCCAAGAGGCCTGGGGTTGGATCTCAAACAGAACCCCCAGGGGTAATGATCAGATCCAATATCGCTCAAGCTCTTGTTGGCAATGGCTCCCCCTAACAAGGAGCGGCGATCAAGTCTGTGGCAGGCTCCTCGGACCACCACCACCTTCAAAGGAGAGTCCTTCCTCACCAAGAGAGGGGTTGCGGGAAAAACTCAAGGGTTCGCCATCTGGTCTTCTCAAGAAGATTAATAGCTCTAGCCCCCAGCCCTTGTTCGAACCACCTAAAAACAAAATAAGAACCGGTGGTCGAAACATGCGACTCGCATCCCCTTACAAAAGAAGGCTCCTACATTTATAGGATGGTCCAGCCGTCGCTATCCCTGGAAACCTCAAGAGGAAAAATATAATCCCATCAAATTTGAGGGAACAAAGCGTCGACATGTGGGGTTCTCTCCAACAAGAAGCCCCCATCACAAAAGTTGCCTAGGCCCCCTTCGTCGAGCAACATCTTCCAAAAAGCGCAAACAATAGAATATCGCCTAACAGAACAACCGATGATGGACAAGCAAGATCTGTTGAAAATTGCCATGTCCACCATCGACCTGCAAGGATCTTAGCAAAACCTCTAAGCAGGTCCTTAGCCGATGAAATGGCAAATAAGCCAGCAACTCAACAACGCCTAAAAAGCAAAAAAGCTCACCATCAAGAGAAAGAGCAACCCCCAATTCTGGGCGTTCCCCAGTTTGGCAACTGTAGACTGTCTAAAAATCATAATAGATAGCTGATCCTCATCAAGCCCCGAAGATGGAAGTTACAATCAAACGACTTCCTAATCGCTGTATCTGCAACTCTGCAACCACTACAAACGCGGCCTCATTTCTGAGATGATTGATCTTGATGGCTGCGATAACAGCATGACTAATATTATATTAGCAACTATTAGAGATGCTGATGAGCAGTGTAATGATTTTAGAAATAAAAGGTTGGACTTAGTTGGTGAGTTGCTTGGTAGAGAGCTGTGGGCAAATATTCGTCTAAAAATCACTATAGATGTTTGATTCCCGTCAAGTTCCAACAATGAAAGCTACAATCAAATAGTTTTTGTGCCGACAAGCGAAAGCTGCAAATAGAGGACTTTTCACATAGATCAAGGAGTGTTACAATTCAACGATACTTCCGACAACTGATGAAAACTCTATTCAACAGTCTTCATAATCTACAGTGAATGTTACAATCTGACGACTTTCACATTCCACAACAGCTAAAGTTAGGATTACTGAACAACGGTCCTTGCAACGCTCTTAGAAGAGGTTACAGATCAACTAATCTCTTCTAAAATGCGGAAGTCATCCCCGCGTCACAATTTTGGAAAAGCAGGCGACCCCCGCGTTTCCAAGCTATAACAAGCCAAACGTGAGCGACCCTCGCGTTCATTAGTGTTCAGCCAACACCGACCCCCGCGTTTCCAAGCTATAACAAACCAAACGCGAGCGACCCTCGCGTTCATTGGTGTTCAGCCAACACCTAACCTCGCGTCTCATTTCTAAGAGGCGACGTTGGGTTCTGAACGCTAGATTGGGCGTTTGACTCGTTCGAATATGAGCCGAACAGTTTCAGAACTGTTTCCCCACGATCTGAGGAAATCACGCCCACTTAGGAGCGGATTTAGAGGACAGTTATAACCTCTTATCCACCTATAAAAACTCAACAAACTCAACTGAGTGAGGGGCTGGCTCTTTGGTACGAAGAAGCAACAAATTAGATCTTCAGGATCTCAACTGCACAGAGAGGCGTGAGAGAGACAAAAATCCTTGGAGATAGGATTTTTGAATCAAGTCCAGAAGATCAAAACCGAAGGGATTCTTCAACAACAAAATATATGCTTGATCATTAACCGAATTTTCGGTTCTAACAACTCTATTCACAGAGTTCTAACTCATTCAGAGTTCTTAAACTCGTACAAGAGTTACTCATAAAACTTTTCCACAGAAGTTCATCGTTCCCACGAGATAAGAGACGATCGGATCGTCAACGGAGAGAAATTTTGACGCGAACAATCGAAGGAGGCATTCCATCGCTACCTTGAAGAACCCAGTTTTAAACAAAGTAGAGAACCAAATTCGTTCTCTTCTCTTTTGTAATCGAATTGTAATCGGAATTAAAGAAATACAAGTTAATTTTCTTTTGTTCTCTTCATTGCAAATTTTCCAACATACAAAAGATGGCGACTCCGCTGGGGACTAGCTTTTCCGATGAAGAAGTGGTGGCGCAGTCCGACGTCCACCTCATGGGAACGACTGTAGAAACTCTCGTCGTAGAGTTTGATCAAGCAAAGTACGAGGAGGCATTATCCTTAGGATCGCTTAGCCCCAAGGCTAAACGCGATGTCCGTAAGATCTCCAAGGAGATCAACTCTGTTGTTGAAACGCCGAAGAAAGCCCTCTCCTTCGGCCAGGAGCTTAAACTAGCTTTGATGGCTGAAAAGTCCACATCCGCGTCAGCACGACGTGCTTCAGGCCACAAACGGCCTATGGAGGAGACAAGCTCCGTAAACGTCAACGACGCTGCTGCTAAGGCTTTGAAACAAGCCAAGAAGAATGCCGCTCGCAGACGGAGAAGATCCATACGACGAGCACACTTGCGTGAAAGCCGAATGATGGCCCAACGCGAAGATCGCGTTTCTGAAATTTTGCCCGAGCCTAGCGTTCCAAAAACAGAACGTTCGCTTCGTAGCAATGAGCCCGATTATGAGCCTCGGCTGATACAGCTGAAACGCGACCCTGAATGGCGCGTTGTTCCTTCAAGATGCAGCCCTCAGAAGGAAGCTGCCAAAGACAAACGCGGCTCTCACGTACGCGTTCAAAAAGAACATGACTCTCAGAAGTCT